ACAATGGGTTCCCCTTTACTCAAAACAGTGTGATTACGAAGTACTGTGTCGCTGGCATGGGCTTGTTGTGCCACAAGCACTGTCTGTAGCCTTCCAAACAAACACATACAAAGATGAACCAGACGTGATTAGGCATCTGATGAAGGAGATTCTAGAGATAGAAAAGGTACTTGTTGTTCATCATGCAATGGATGGTCTTAACTTCTTGAGAGGAACGGAGGATCAGTACTGGGATTTATTAGAAAATGATAAATTGCATAGAGGCAATGATTATCCTATTTTCCTAACAGTTGTCGAGTGGGAGGGACTACCTAAGTTTCTACCACAGACGTTGGACGTCGGTGTCCCATATTGTTGTAGAAATCAGGTAAGTGGTCTTCTTGATGATAGCGATGAAATGCGAGAAATGTGTGCAACTGGGGCCTAGATTACGATTCCCTCGGTCCCGAAGGGTACATACACGATATTGACGAAGAAGTTGAAATGACAATGAAATAGTGCCAGACAGCGACGATAATGGCGAATGATAACTTTTTTGGTTGTTTAAATGGGTTTATGTTAGATTGTTGTACTGAAGTATTAATGTTAAATATCAATAAGATTCAACATCAATGGAGACATAATTTTATTTCATACATTCTTCAAGATAAATAAGTACATACACTTATTACAACCACATTACAAACAAGATAAACAAATACGACGTGTATCCTTGATAGTTGGGCACATTAGATGAACTTCCACCAGGAGCTGGATTACCACCGCCACTCAAACTAGCTGAAGGACATTTACGACGGTCGTGTCCTGTTTGCGAGTATATGCCACATTGAGGCGCATAAATGGTATCACCAACATCCATTTGGTTCCGTATACGCGTTCCTTTTTGCACTTGTAGCTTACGCAAATAGTCCTTGTTACACACCATTTTAAATGGTTCCAACGGCCAATAATGCTCAGCACCCACTAGCTGCAACTGCCCACTATATGTGTTTAAGTATGCAGCAACGCTGTATTGCTTATCAACATAGTTGGTTGGCCCTAAACCTGTATGTTGAAAGCACTTGATGGCATGTGAGCACGACATGTGGTAGATGGACCATTTCCCACGAGAACACAACCTGCTGGCTTCATTTACGGTGCGTATATTATTCCCCCATTTTTGATGGATAGCGGTGCGAACTTCAAAAATATTTCGCTCGTTGCAATACTGTAAAAAGAATGCCAATGTGCTCGCCTCCTGTATTTCTCAAATCTTTTCATTGATATTGGCATAAATTCAACACCCCTCTCCATCAATTCCGATGCACCTCTATGCCTTTCAAGAAACCTCTCCGCCATCTGTTTGAATGACATCCGCACTATGGCAGTGACAGGCAATCCACGTGCAGACTTTAATAACCCGTTGAAAGACTCTGACACATTTGTAGTCAGGGTTCCCCATCGTTTGCCACCATCCGCATGCAATGTCCACTTGTGAAGCTCATGTCGCATCAACCAATGATAGGCTCTTTTGTCTTCCTGCCGGATCGATTCCATGCGCCTCCTGAATTTGCACTCTTGGTGATCAGTTGCAGCCATCCACATTAAATCATACAAGTCCTTGTTGGGATATTTCTTCTGGAAATTGGCCTTCAAGTGCCTCTACGATAACAGTTATATGCATACGGTTCCTGCCATTCAGGCAAATGCTCTACAGAACTTAATATACCCCCATACCGATCAGATATTAGACAAATACCTGAACGTTATTTTACAACGTGCTCCTTCAAGTGGTTCAAAAATAGCATCCACGTCTCTTAGCTTTCATTGGTACAAATGGCAAAAGCTAGGGGAAATATTTGTCCATTGGCATCTACTGCAATGGCGATCAACAGCTTAATATCATACTTTTCATAGACATGAGTACCGTCTATGGATATTACCGGGCGGCAATGCACAAAAATATCAATTGCTGGTTTAAATGCCCAGAACACGTATCTGAATATATATTCTGGTATTCCTGCACTCCGCTCAAGCTTCCATTAAACAACAATCCCGGGGTTAAATTATTACAATGCGGCCATGTACCTAGGTAGAGATGCAAATGACTTATCCCAGTCACTATAAACAATTTCAAATGCACGTTCGCGCCCGAGATATGACTTTCTTTTGGTAATGGTACACCCATATTCCTGGTGGACGGATGTAATACACTCTTTGATCTTGTGCCTTATGGACGCTTCAATGTGTGGAATCAAGAGAAGAGAAATCAAGTCAACATCCAAGTTGAAGTGATTCCCACTGAATGTGTCCATTTCACAATTGTGGGTGCTAATGTATTTACCCACTTTCCACATATTTGTTTTCTTCTTTATCGCACGCAGCATCCAGTTACAACCCATAAACCATCTATGGAAAATAACCTTGTATACATCCGGAGATGACTCCCATACCATCATCTCACGACATTCTTTTACGCTGTACATTTTTACCGCCCTGCTTAGGTGCGCCTTATCAGGAAAAAGCATGCCCTTTGACAACACCGTAGGTCTAGATTTATCCCACATTGCTGTCCGAATTTCGTCAATATCCCTTGTGAGGGCATGTATATCCAGCGTACTTGGCAAATAATCAAGGTAGGGAATATGTCTTGAATGAAACGGCACGTGAGACTCGCACACTCTTGGTCTAACCGGAGGTGGAGCATGATCCCGTCAAATCAGGTTCGGCATTCTCTTCCTCCTCCTCATCACCCTCGTCAGGAAAGGGTGTGTCATCTCCAGACTCATCGGCATTGTTGTCATAATCACTATTATCTTCCTGACTCTGCGCATCTGCCAAATCTCGAGTAAATACGTCGTCTACGGGCAATTGAGTGAGGACAGGACCATCAAGTTGCTCGTTTTCACTGCACAACCAAAGAAATAATGAGTTACTGAAATTGGTCCAAACAATACATATAACTTTATATATTCACTTACAAATCACAATGTGTAGATATCCCATGATGCACAATATCTTGTTGATGCTGACTCCCGGATGGACCACCATGATCCAACATACCAAAACTAGGTATATTCCAACTGGCCGTTGGTTCATAACTTGTAAAATTCATATCTGGTCGGTACCCCCTGTGGAATATATGAGTGTTAATACAAATACAATACACAAAAATATACATGTAACACAAAGTATAATTGAAGTTTACCACTCGGCTTGTGGATTATGCATACTAGGGGAGAAATTATTTCCTCGTTCCTCATTCGCCCGTGGAGATAAGTTTAGATCCGGCCAAACTCTTTCAACCGGAACCTGTTCGGCTAAAACTGCTCCAAAATAACTACCCGATGATTGAGGGATTTCCCTACTTTGCGCAACCTTATTATCGCGAACGTCTTCAGCCTTGACGTACATTTTCAATAATTTTATCACAATAAATTCCCTGTATTCATCCGGAGTCCGCAAAAAATCTCTCAGAGTTTCATCGTCTTCGATGTTAAAATCAGCATAACAAGCAACCCCTTGCGGAGTCACAGAATACGGATATCTTCCGGTTATTTTAAGATTCATCGAACGTTTGCTCATGCTCATTTTATTACATAACAACGATACCAATCTATCGTACTCCATTGTAAGTGGCAACTTAACATGACACCGTGGAGATAAACTATAGCTTACTGAGTTATTCCCCACCACAACCTCACCCCCCAATATAATGAAACCCTAATTTTTCGCTCTTCAGACATTATGACAAAATTCAAAACAACTTAACAAAGAAAAATTTCAGAACACTTGAAGATGTTTATGAATGGATTTTTACAAAATCCTTCACCTCTTTAAATAAGGCAAAACCAGCCCAGGGGTTCAATTATTAGAGGTATAGACCAGTCGAATTATTGTTATGTGAGTTACCCACAGAAGAATTATTTTTGGGCCCACTTGATATGTATAGCGTTTTAATAAAAAATGCTATATATATAGCGTCTTTTTGAAAGACGCTATACTTAACTGGCCAAACGCCCGTTAAAGCATAGCGTCTCTTAAAAAGACGCTATATATATTTTGGTCACTAATTTTTTTCCCCGCATATTTCGGTCATTTGAGTCAAAAAGAACCACATTTTGGTTCCGGACTCTTGCTTGTGCTACTGTCAGATGAATAGCCTGTTTGGCCAAGCTTTCCCAAACCTAGAAGTACTTTTTTTTCTTCAAAGTTGAAGTGTTTGACCAAGTTTTTGGAAGAAAAAAAGTGCTTTTGAGGAGAAGCAGAAGTAGTTTTGGAGAAGCAGAAAAAAATAGTTTCTTCCCAAAAGCATTTTTTTTGAAAAATACACTTAAGAGCATTTTTTAAAAGTTTGACCAAACACTAATTGCTGCTTATAAGTGATTTTTAAATTAATTAGCCAAACACATAGCCTATTTGGCCAAGCTACAAAAATGAGCTTATTTTAAGAGTGCTTTTCTTAAAAGTACTTTTGTGAGAAATAGTTTGTGTTTGGCTAATTAATTTGAAAAATAATTCCGAGCAGCAATTAGTGTTTGACCAAGCTTTTAAAAATTGCTTCTAAGTAGATTTTTCTCAAAAGTGCTTTTAAAAATACTCACTCCGTTTCAAACTAAATGAGGGATTTTCCTTTTTAGTCTGTTCCAAAATAAATGATACATTTCTAAATTTGGAAATAATTCAACTTTAAACTCTTCGTTTTACCCATTTTACCCTTAACGAGAAGCTTTTATAACCACCTAAATGTCATGGCTCCACAAAGCTTTTACCCCATAAGCTTTTAAGACCACAAGTTTCGAAAATCTTTTTTTTTTCTTAAACTCCATGCCGAATCAAACTACCTCATCTAAATTGAAACGGAGGGAGTAATACTTTTGGAAAAAATCTACTTTTTTTCTGCTTCTCCTCTCCTCCAAAGCACTTTTTTTTTTTCTCTCTTCAAAAAGCTTGGCCAAACTTAAAAATAGAAAAAATCAAAAAAGTACTTTTAATAAAACCGAAAAAAACACTTCAAGCTAATTTTTAAAGCTTGGCGAAAGAGGCTACACGTGCTTGAACAGGTTATCTCAAATGGCGAACGCGAGTACTGGTGATGCTAGGTGTACAGAAGCAGGAGGAAATACGAGTTTGTGGGAAAATTCTTGTTTTTGCCCCCTACACATCAGAAATAAAGTTCTGTGTTAATTAGAGTTGGGCTCCAGGAAAGGGAATGGGAATTTGGGGGATTAGTGCAAGAAGGAGTTGCATTGGTCTCTGCAACATCAGAGTGAGTGGGCAGTCATTCAGAGGAAGAGCATTTTCAGACTCCAATTCTATTACAAGTGACGATTCTGTCTTGCCGGTGTTGATCATCGGCGCTGGTCCAGTTGGTCTTGTCCTCTCCATACTTCTTACAAAACTTGGTAATTTCTTGATACCCTTTTCCCCTATTGCCCTATTTAGATATTTTCAAATGCCATAGCAGAGGCGGAGCCAGAACTTGAAGTTTATGGGTTCGAGAATCTAATTTTGTTGAAGTTATAAATTATATATATTGGATGAATTTCTTAAGACAAATATGTGGTACGAACAAAAGGTACTGGATTGGATTCGGCCGAACCCATAGGTCGTATACTAGCTCCACCCCTGGCCATAGGTGCTTGGTATGGAGGATACCTTTTCTACATGAAAAATACTATTGTGGAAAACTGTTTCACTTATCTTAAATCAGTTTCTGGACATTTTCGAGTGGTTGGTCGAATATAAAATCTGGTTGTACAATTAAGATGAATTACGAAATAATTTTGATCATTCACACAATGACTGAAATAAGTGAGATGGACCAAGAGTTGAGACGTTGTGAAGGAAAATGAGTTTAGGTCATAACTAAGGGGTGAGAATTATTTTCTGGGGTTCTGTTTTGATATTTGGACTATAATTTCTGTTTGTATTCTTTAGGTGTAAAATGTGCGATCTTAGAGAAGAGCAAGGCCTTTTCCAAACACCCTCAAGCACACTTCATCAACAACCGGTCTATGGAGGTTGGTTTTGTCATGTGGAAGCATTTTGTTTTTTGCCTTTTGTTGTGTTGCCTAGAAAGTAGCTGAGATTTGAGAGTATTTTGATTGAAAGACGTTTGTTTTGATGTATCTATTGTTTCTAGATATTTCGCAAATTGGATGGTCTTGGAGACGAGATTCTAAGATCTCAACCGCCAGTAGAGTTTTGGAGAAAGTTTATATATTGTACATCACTGACAGGACCTATTTTAGGTGCTGTTGATCATATGCAGCCTCAAGGTAGGATTTGTATATGTGATTTGTAAGTGATTTTAATTCTTAATTTTTCAAATTGTTATGCTTTAAGTGATTAATTTATTCATGGTTATTGTTACTGCAAACTAAATACTCTCCCTGTCAAGTTTTATGTTAAATGGTCTGAACTAATGCAAAATTAAGAAGTGAATATGACGTTTTTAAGCGATTTGTCTTAGCTCTTCTACTCCTTAAAATGGATGCTGCAGTGTTGTTTTCTCTTTCTTAGTATATTGCTGAATACAAAATGTTACATGGGACATTTTGCACTTTATGACTTTCTTAATGTATTGCTGAATACAAAATGTTACATGGCACATTTTGCACTTTATGGTTTCTTAAGTCATCAAATCACATTTTGTTCACCTCAGATCCTCTCAACATATGAAATGGAATTAAATTGTGCCCGTTCGCAATCAGTGAAGATATAATTGAGTCAATTGCAATTTTAGATTGAAATTCTAGTGATCTCGAATCCATGAAATATTGGCAGGTGTATAACTACTATTATTGCAATAACGTGTCAGACATTTCTACATTCCAGTGGAAAATATGTTTCGTCAAATGAGCTGGGGAGAGTAGTATGGTATCCATCTTATTAGATACATCTATTGCATCACAAATTTATTGAGTTTGCTTCTTGGAAGATATGTCTTATATGCTTATTCGTGATTTTTTTGTTTTCTGCAAACATTTTCCATTTTGTTTGTCAGATTTTGATCGGATTGTGAGTCCTGTCTCTGTTGCACACTTCTCCCAGTACAAGCTCTCCAGGTTACTGCTCAAGCACCTTGAGAAACTCGATTTCTGTACGATAAACTCTGAAAAGCGTGAGCATGGCTCTATTGGCGAGAGGAAGATCTTTATGGGGCATGAGTGCATTGCAATCAATGATGCTGAGCATGGCGTCAGTGTAACGGCATCTTTCCTTACTGAAGGGAAGTATATAAAGAGAGATATTCAGTGTCGTTTCCTTGTTGGTACAGATGGTGCAGGAAGTACCGTCAGAAAGTCCTTAGGAATTAACATGAGAGGTGAAAAGGACTTACAAACTCTTGTTAGTGTCCACTTCCAAAGCCAAGAGTTAGGGAAGTATCTCATCAAAGAAAGACCTGGCATGCTGTTTTTCATCTTTAATAAAGATGCTATTGGTGTTCTTGTTGCCCATGATCTCAAGCAAGGGGAATTTGTCCTGCAGGTAAACCAGTTCTTTAATTATGTGAGAATTTGGTTCAGTGCTATAATATCCACTTGCTCGCATTTATAAATCTGAATCTGTTGTTATCGGTTAACAGCATTATTGATAGCTTTGGTCAAAATTTTCTAGGTACCATTTTATCCACCTCAACAAAAGCTTGAGGACTTCAGTTGCGAGGTGTTTTTCTACTCTTTTGTTGAATCTTTGCTAACTTTATCAGTTCTTAAAATTGTCCATTAGTGGAAGAGAATGAATCAATGGGTTTTTGTTCCTCCGGATTCATTTGGATCTACTACAATATGGGGGCTATGGCTGCAATGCTTGACAGTTGAACCAATATGGTTTATTTACCATGTTGTTCTTTGTACTTTACAATTGGTTGTAGATGTGTAAGAGATTGATCTTCAAATTGATTGGCCAAGAGCTTGCAGACGTCAATGTGATGGATATTAAGCCTTGGGTGATGCATGCTGAAGTAGCTGAGAAGTTTCTGTCTCGTAACAACAGGATAATCCTTGCTGGTGATGCTGCTCATCGATTTCCTCCTGCCGGTGGTTTTGGTATGCAATCTATTTGTGCATTGATTATGTTTTTGTTTGTAGAGCTATTATCTTGTCAAGTCTTATATATTTTTTAAGAATAACTTTGTTGCAATTCCTTTTCTGTTGAGAGAGTTGGGGGAGGGGAGGGGGAGAGGAAATAAATTAATGCATAGTAGTATAGTGTATTTTTGTCACTGAGACGAACGAGGCTGCTTCCTGAGATGCTGATGTAAAGGTAAAAATCGCAAAATTATTTCTGTGGGAGGCAGGTAAAAGATTTCAGCATAAGCATAAAATTTCGAAGCTATAATAGTATAATTAGCTTAAATTAAGCCCAAGATAGCTTTAGCAGGTTGGAGGAGATCTGAACTGCAATCAGTAACCACATTGTTATGTTAGTTACTATGCATTGCACTGGTAATTTAACACAATTGATATTGTATCTGACTATAGACCTAGAACTTGATTGTTATATGGTAATTTTAAGAACAAAATCAAATAAATAATTAAGTTTATAATAGCGTTCCCTCTCGAGCATTTAAAGCTTTTGAATGAGATGGTTCAGTTTCACACAATCCAATATGCAATCAAAGCTGTCCTTGTTCGAGTCCCTATCAACAAAATATGACATGCTTGGCCATGAATCCCTGGCCAACTCTTAGAGAGTAATTTTTAAAGGCATAATTAGGGCACCAAGGGTGTGACATAGCAGTCGATGAAGTGGGTGGAAATCTTTGAGACCTAGCATCTGTCTAAGCCTTGGTGGGCAAAGTTAACCCAATACTTGTGCTGGCGGATGTAGCAGGTATCCAGTGGAACAGTCGAGAGTGCGCGCAAGCTGGAGCTCACCATTATTAAAAAAAATACATTAGGTAAATAATAGTGTCATTTCCCCTTGATAACTTATTAAACGTTTAGATGAGATTGTTCGAATATGAGAAAGATATCTCAAAGAGAAGGGGAAAAATTAGAAGAAACTGGAGGAATATTTCCTATTCTGCAGGGATAAAATAACTGCATCTTGATAACTTTTAAGTTAGGTGGTGTGAAGATCTAAGGTGTCATGCAAGATGCACCCAACTCCGCTTCATGGAATATATCTGCAGCTGTTGTTGTTTATTTGAGGATTTAATAGTTCAGACTGGGGAAGGAAATCTGCTCAAGATGTCTTCTTTTATTCAGGGATGAATACTGGTATTCAAGATGCTCATAATCTTGCGTGGAAATTAGCTTCTGTAATCAAGGGTATCTCACCAATATCAATTCTTACCTCGTATGAACTTGAACGTAGCCAGGTATTCATTTCCTCGATTCTTGGTTTGATAATGCATATTGTATAAAATACAATATTACCGTTTTTCTGACGAGCTTCACACACTCCTTAAAATGTTTCAGATAGCCCAATTTAATACAGCACTTAGCGTCCAAAACTTTAAGGCGGCAATGAGAGTTCCTGCTGCACTTGGTCTTGATCCAACAATAGCAAATGCAGGTAAAGTGCAAACTTAGACTTAATCTGTATTACATCAACATCTGATCAAAGACATTATGTGTTTTTGCCTGCAGTACATCGAGCTCTTAATAACACGGTTGGTTCTGTTCTGCCATCTGGACTTCAAAGGACAATATTAGATGGAATATTCAGCATTGGTCGTGCACAACTCTCAGATTTTGTATTGAATGAAAATAATCCACTTGGATCTGCAAGGCTAGCCAAATTAAGACAGATATTTGAAGGAGGACAGAGCCTTCAGCTCCAGTTCCCTGCTGAGGATCTTGGTTTCAGGTTGCGTATCTACTTTTGCGTATCTATTTAATGCAAATTGCTCAAGCTTATTTTGTCATTAAAGTTGTCTAGTTCATGGCTCCTCCTATAAATGCTGGATACTGACTCAACTCTGAATAGAACTCCAAAAAAAGACATCTCAGGTGTACGCCAGATGATTGTTTATATCTTAAATAGTCCTTTTGGCAATACTTGTTTGCATCAGTACTCTAATTTCAATGTGTTTACATTAGGTACCGAAAAGGAGCATTAGTGTTTGAAGATTTTAGTGGGTTGAATGTGCATGAAGCACCTTCAGGACGAAGAAGGGATTATATTCCTTGCTCGGAACCTGGATCAAGGCTCCCTCATATGAATGTTAAATTGCTTTCTAACCCGTCAAGTGAGGTATGGATTCTTTCGAGGGGACATTGCCTTTGTAGGAGCTGGACCTTGTTAGATCATGGTCTTTTCATATCGTTCATCTCTTGTCACATGTTTGGAGAAGCCAAATAATTGAATCAAATGGGAATTTTAATTTGTCTCGATCCTTGCAATAGATTACAATATTCGATCGGCAATCATCCTGTTTCAGGTTTCATTATTTTTTTTCTAACAGTAGATCTTATTCAGGAAATATTCTCTACTCTGGACCTTGTATCTGGAGATAAGGTTGAGTTTGTCCTTATAATAGCACCACTGGAGGAGTCCTACTATTTAGCTCGAGCTGCTATAGAGGTGGCGAACGATTTTAAAGTGCCTTTAAAGGTTTGTGTAATATGGCCAAAAGAAAGTATTAATGGAACCGGAAGAAGTGAGGCTGCATTGACTCCCTGGAAATTTGTTGAAGTTGTGGAAGTGAAGAGCTCATCAGATTTTCCATCCTGGTGGGACATCTGTCAGATGACGGACCGAGGAGCCATTTTAGTGAGACCTGATGAGCATATTGCTTGGCGTACAAAATCCAGAATTGCAGATCCTATCGCGGAGATGAAAAAAGTTTTCCACATTGTTACAGGAGTTGATTGCATCTGATTTCACCTTTCGTGAAACTTTTACCCCGTAAATCTATGGTAGGCCTGGCGTTAGTACTTTGCTTTTGGATAGACAGTTACCCCGTACTTGTACTTATGCTGATGAGAGACAGTAAATACGGAAATGGTTTTCAGAGTTTAGTTGGAGGAGGCTCAGTTATTTAAACATATGTGGTGCAAATAAAATCCCATAACAACTCAAAATTGTATTGTTATTTATTAAACTTGCTTTCTATTTCTTTTTCTCTTTTGTATGTTTCTACATAAAAAACTAATGTTAAACTTTGATGAATTTTCCTTTTTCCTTACTTTTGTCCTAAGACGGAACGCAGAAGAACAAATATAGGTAACGACAATCTTTTTTTTGTGATTTTGTACCTCATCCGCTCTAAAAGAATAATATTTTGATTATTTGAGTAAGATATTCTTTCTACTATAATTCGATCAAACATTTAAAAAAATTATTTGAATACAAAAAAATTGTGATTTATGATATTTCTATTTAGTTTAATATGTAAATGTTTATTTAGAAACAAATTACAAATAAATATCAAAATTCACAATAAAAATTAAATTCGTTGAGCATCAACTCTTAACCATGCCATTTTTCTTTTAGGACGAAAGGAGTAGTTGTTTTAGCTTAAACTAAAATACATTTGATAATTGAAAACCTCTAAATCAATTGACCAATTTGAGGTTTTTTTTTTGATTATTATCTGAAAGAAATCCGAGAAATTTAACTGAGACACATTTACTTCGAAAGTCTATTTATCTTATTGTTACACTTTCTCTGTCAAATTCACCGAGGACATAACCTTAAATAGGAGGATATGGAGGTCGTGGGTTAGGGCCCTGAGGTTCTTGTTTGAAGTCATTTGTTTATCACAGAACCATTTGGGTTAGGCGCCGGACGTGCTTTTTCTTTTTGTAGGTTGATAGGGGTCAATTACGGGGGGTAACCAGTCGATCAACTCATTTCGGCTAGAAGATTAGCAGGTAGTCGAGCGTTATCTCGCTTTCTTGTAGGAGAGGCTTAGTGGTAGTTTGGAGCCCATTATCAGCTTCTCCTTTCATACCAGTAGTATTACTACTATTCTCGTATCGTCTTATTCTTCGATCCATATTACTACGTGTTGTTTCTTGTGCTTCGGTTATCTTAATATTTTGTTGATGTTAATGCTCTTTTTTTCAAATGCTTTTTTATGCCTTCCTTAATTTTTTTTAAGGCTTCTTCACTACCGGTTTTTTAAAAGCTATTTTGGAATACTTTCATTAAGTTGAGTGTCACGACCCAAATCGATGGGCCGCGACGGGCACCCGGTACCTTACTCAACCGAGTACCAACGTAATATATCTTTCGTATCATACCATCATAGGTAAATGAACTAGAAAGACTGTCATGGGATAACTAGAATAAAGCATGAGGGAATACGCGACATAGGATGACCCAACGTATAATACAAACTTATACATATGATATACGGGCCTATAAGGCCGAAATGATCACTCTTACACTGAACATAGGCCGACAAGGCCATACAATCATTCATATACATGATATATGTCTACAAGCCTCTAAGAGTAGATAAGTACCATAAAGTCCGGGACAGGGTCCCGCCATACCAATCAATACATGTCCAAATCATACTGACCAAATAAGCAACTCCGGAGCAAATGGAGCGCACCAATACCTTCCGCTGAGCTGATAGCCTACTTGGAGGACTCTCAACCTGTCTATCAGGATCTGCGGGCATGAACGCAGCGTCCCTATGCAAAAGGGACGTTAGTACAAATAATGTACCGAGTATGTAAGGAATGAAAATCAGTAAATAAAAGACATAAAAGAAACATGGAGTAAAAGACTCAACATGTATGTCTGAATAGCTCTGTGAATTATTTCATATTTATAATGTCATGCGTATGCGTATAAATGTCATACCATGCATAGGTATATGCGTACATAACATCATCAAGCCTCTGAGGGCATCCCATCATATCATCTCGGCCACTGTGGGCAAATCATCAACGTATACCAGCTGATCAGGTGGTGGTGCGTATATAATGCCATAACCTTTCCCCATACCCCAAATACATATATATACATATATACGCGTATATAACGCCATCTGGTCATGGGTCAATGTACATGTATAAATGAATGCAATGCATGAGAAGTACGTCAATAAAATCTCTCGGAGTGTCATAAGACCATTATGCCTTTGATTAATATCATGAAATAAACATTATCAACTTACAAATTTTCTGAGACCCATGAAAAGACGATAGAATAATAGGACATATGGGGAATCAAGAACATAGACACCCCTAGTACTTCTAAGAATAGAGTCATTTATGAAACTTGTACATTTGCTCGTTTCATTTATGTTATATGGATCATGCCAAAAAGAAAGAAGGGATAGCTTTAACATACCTGAACCGATTCTCCTGACAATCCCTCTAACACAAGTCTTTTGCGAAAAACATGTAAAGGCGGATCGGGGTAGGAAAAAATTCGTATGATATTCTTGAGAAAGATTGCACCGTACTCCCTTAGAATCGCAAATCTCACGCTTTATCGTATCATGAAGTTCCAAAAAAATTGCTTGAACTCCATCCGTAAGCTTAGCATCACCTTAATGAGGTAATGTATCTCTTAAAATTGTTGGTTTTGTGGGCCCCACTTGATAAGGATGACTTGGCCACAAAGTCCTCAAAATGAGCCACCTTATTATATGACCTTAAGAGTCACACTTACCTAATGGCCTTTGCTGCCACGTTAGGAGGCTCTTTAAACTTATCCAAGACTATCATTAATTAGCTAATCTCCCACCAAAATTATTAATTACCCACTTATCCACATAATTAAGAATTATCTCAAATTACTTAAAATACTACTCACTTTTAACACATTTTATACACCTTACTATCAATGGTCATGTGGTGCCTTGTATGGCACAAGTCCATAAATATCGTGTATTATAGCTTAGACCGTATTTTATCCCAAAATGTCAAACTTCGACGAAACTCATTTTCTTCGATTCGCTCACCCTCTCACCTTCACGAATTTACTTATCACTTGTTTGAAATAGCATAATACTTATAATCTCAAAATAGTCTCATTCCCGAGCTTACGTCGATTAACTTACGACGAAACTTTACCGTACGAAAATGCGGGATGTAACATCTAATTTTCGAGCTTTCATCAATTTACTTATAGCGTATTTTTACGTACGAAAACATGGGGTGTAACATCATTCCCCCTTTGGAACATTCGTCCTCGAATGTTGACTGATGCATTTAGCATTATCATAACCTATAGCTCTTGGGAATACTTTAGTACTCTCTTTGCCATGTAGGCAACTATTTTGTGAATAAATCCAAAGGCCAGGTCATCCCCCCTTTATGCCTCTTTCTCACACCACGACTAGTGGTCGTAATCCTTTCAATCTCATAACTGTTGCTACCTTCTATCATGCAGTCTGTACGACTCTTGACCTTGTAAGTGCGTCTATGCGATTCTTCTCTCCTTTATCCCCCAGCTTTTAGCCAATCTCTAGGCCTCACTTTGGGAACATATACAGAACTTGACAAGATGTCCCTCTGGGCATCTATAGGTATACTGAAGTTCTTCACTCTATACTTTGTCGAACCCATGACTATTGCTATATCTTGTTCATAGCCTTGGTTATCTATCCTTATAGCTTTACTAAATCTAGGTAGGTCACACTATATCCTAACTCTTACTTCGATTTATTATTACCGAGGTCTGCCACCCAACTCCAGGTTACTCTCTCGCTGCTTATCATATATGTATAAATCTAAGTCCTTTAATGCTTTCTCATTACTGTTCATCTTAAGAATGGCAGCCCGATCTCATCTCATACTGTTGTAACTTTTATCCATCCATTGTTGATTCACCTCAATGTTGATCTACAATCTACCACTGATAACTTGAAACTTCTTACGTAATACACTGCCACTAGGGCTTACGTTGCATCGAGGAACATTTGAAGTGATTTTCCTGATCCACTTAGGGGCAATAATGCACTTCAATAACCGTATTTCATGGCATCCTTACGTGGTTCATCTTATGGGGGTATTTTAATCCTGTACAATTCCTGAAATCCCTTTTTTTCTTCAAGTCGTTACTCAATCAAAGGCCCAAACGTCATCCTTTATTTATCACAATTACACCCTCATTCTACTACCAGGGTAGCGTTCTATCTTTTCTAAATGCTACTAGTCTTAGACTCCTTTGAGTTTATTCAGGCTATACTGAGTTTTCTATAACTTAGAAAAACCATTAGCTCTCTTGTTTTCATGGGCTTAACCCCGAGGACTTATCCATTCTCGTCACCTTCTCACTTGCCTTTCCCTATCCATACTCATGTCTTCCTAAATCCTTGTCGCTCTACGATACTTTAGCTTGCGACCTACACATATCCATTTATACTACTCGCAACCTTCCTTCAACTTGCTTGCACCATAGATTTCCTTATGTTATTCTGGAACATCAAGCGAGACATCACATCATCTCAAACTCTTTTTTACACTTTTAACTAGACCTCTCAATACCTAGAAACCATAGGCTGGAAGATATGCCACTGATGACGCCGCTATCATTCCTGCATACTGAATCCCAGTACTTCTAGCCTTCTAACTGAAGTATGGACATTCACAACCTTCTGCACTTGAGTATCTCGTACGTTGTTCACCTTTACCTTACTTACCTTAAAATATCGCCTCACATTCTTATATCCCTTTCATAACCTCCCTTCCACATAGGTATAATTCACATCCATAACTTGAAGCTCTATTATATTACTTGAACCTCTGGTGCGTACACAATCCGGTGAGAGCTTCGTACTGACTTCTTATGAGGCCGGTACTCTTCTAACTGGCTTTATCATAGAGCCATTATAGAATATGGCTACTGTACTATCTCTCTTGTACCTCTAATATTAAGAGTGATTCTGCAATGTTCTCAATCACGAGGTCTATAGTTTTCTGGGTCCAATAATCAGACTCCTGATTTACTTAGTTGATGTAACTCTTTAGTTTCCTCTTCCCTCTGATCAACCTTTATGTGGGCTTAATCTATATTCCGATCTGCCGCTCATGGTATTAGTTATTACTTTAGCCTTTCATGGACACTATGGAATATCCGTGATAACATCATCTAACAATTCAATCCTTTGTCTATAAGCTGGACTCAATTCTTTCTTTTAACTTATACCGGAGTTTTCT